ACCCTAAACCCTAAACTCTGAACCAAAACCCTGAAAGCTAAAACCGAACCCCAAACCCTAAACCCGAAGGTGACCTCGGGATTAGGTGTGTATGGTTTTATCGTTAAAGGCTTAGGGTTTAGGATTTTATCGTTTAGGGATTACGACTTAGGGGTTTTATCGCTTAGAGTTTAGGGTTTTATCGTTTAGAATTTAGGGTTTAGGTCGTTCGGGTTCCTCAGTTCACCTTGATTAAACACACACACACACACATACACAGGCACACAACGTCGCAACTCCTACAATGGCCATGCAACCATCCCTAAAAAGCCCCACAACCCTAAACCCTAAACCCAAAAACCCCACAAGAACCCTACAAGTTACGGGAAAACTACTGTCTGGGCCAGGAGTCCCCGGGGAGCACGTCTCACACTCCGACTGTCCCGGGTTGGCGGCGAACTTCCCGCTGGAACAAGCCGCGCACACCTGCATCTTTCGGATTCTAGGCTTAGGGCGGTTCTGGGGTATACTATAGTATAAACGGATTGTAGGCTTCGGGCGGTTTTGAGGTATACTATAGTACAAACTAGCCATCAAAGAAGAAGGGTACAGGGTGCAGGGCTTACGCCGCAGGGTGTGTTGGGTTTCCTCCTCAGGCTGCACACTACAACTTGAGGAGGATACCTTCCTTGCCACCAGATTCCAGGAATCGCCACAGCCAAAACCCAAAAACGAGCCCCAAGCCCCTGAAAGGCTCAAAAAATAAACCTCCAAAGCCCTGAAACTCCCAACTTTATTGAGGCCTAAACTCTAAAACCCCACCGCCCCTGCGCGTCTACAACATCACGGAAGCATCTAAGCCCTAAACCCTACACCCTAAACCCGAAACCCTCAACTCTAAACCCTAAACCCTAAACTCTAGACCCTAAACCCTAAACTCGAGACCCTAAACCCCCAATCCTCAACTTCAAACCTAGGCACGGCGGCGCCAGCATCGGAGAAGTGGCCGGCCGGACAGCTCCTGATAGGCAGCGCCGAGACTGAACGGTTTAGGGCTTCTAAGGACTCCTTCAAGGCTTTCGGGTTTAGGGTTTAGGGTTTAGGGTTTAGGGTTTAGGGTTTGGGGGTTGGGGTTTAGGGTTTTAAAGTTCAGGGTTTAGGGGTTAGGGTTTAGGGTTTCGGGGTCAGGGTTTAGGGGTCAGGGTTTAGGCTGTAAGGCTTTCTTGAAGGGTTCCTTCAGGGGTCCGTTTCATGCTCTAAAGAAAAAAGAACCCTGAGGTGGACCTTGAAAATGACTAATGCACTAGTTTTCTGAAATCCCCAAGGCAAGCATGATGGTGCTCCGACTCTGCTACAACGAATGCTCACCATCACCAAAGATCCCACCAACAGGGTTTAGGGAAGCTCATGACAGCAGAGGCATCAGCGTCCCGGATGTGTCCAGTAGTAGGTAGAGTCTGAAGCTCGGGGGCTCGAGATGCTAGCGTTACATGAAGTTATATGCATATGTATATGTAAACACACATACATACCTCCAACAAACTGAAGCTGCCCTGAGCAAGACAAGGGTTGTAAGGTGGACCTCTGCTGAAGCGTCCTGGACTTGAGCCCGGCAGCACAGAGATGCTGCAGGCCTCAAGCTCTGAAACTACGAACCCCCAAACCCCGACACACGCCCTAAAGCCCTAAAGCCTAAGCTCCTACATGCACTAATATAGAGGCCTAAATAATTACCTATACTATTTTGGGGGTTCCCTATTTCCACAAAAGTCTAATGGGCCCCAAAACCCTATTCTAATTTTTAAGGCCCCTATTTTGCCCGATAGCCTGAATGCACGAGCCTGAACCCCTAAAGACCCGAAAACAGGACTCTCAAGTCCCAGCGGCTTGCAGCTGAGACCTTGCGCGACCAAAAAGGCATCTTGGTACCTGCCCGCTGCGCATGGCTCGCAGCTTTGTGCCCTCCGGCGGCGAGTCTCGTAGCCCACCTGGAATGCACCAAAGCTTGCCCGTGTTTGAAGCCAAACCCTATGCTGCATGAACTGCTTGAAAATCTCAAGCCGTATTCCGTGAACCCTTACTCTAGAGCCTTCTTACGCTACCGTCTCAAGACCCCCTCACCCTAAACCAGAAGTACCTGCAAGGTGACTCCGAATCCTAAACCATGCTGAACCCCAAAACCCTAAACCTGCAAGCCCGAAACCCTAAACCCCAAACCCCAAAATCCTCACAACCCCTCGACACCGTACCCTAAACCCTAAATCCTACAATCCTAAAATCCTAGAACCCTAAAACCTGAACCCCAAAACCCTAAACCTAGAATCCCGAAACCCTGAAACCCTAAACCTAAAATCCCGAAACCCCAAAACCCATACCGGAGCCACCTGGCAGACTTTGCACGAAGGCCAGCCCTTCCTGTCGGTGTAGAGGCCCGTCCCACAGGCGACCTGACATCGGCTCAAGGGGGCGTTGAGGGTGTAGGGTTTAGGGTTTAAAGTTAAGGCTTCAGGGTTTGGGGTTTTAAGTTAAGCCTTTAGGGTTTAGGGTTTAAAGTTAAGGCTTTAGGGTTTAGGGTTTTCATTGTCTAGGGGAAGCTAGGAAGTGTTTAGGGTTTAGGGTTTACGGGCTTAGGGGTTCCTTGTAGAGTTTGTGTTACAAGGGTTCTTTGGGTTAGGGTTTAACGTTTAGGGTTGTAGTTTTGGAACTTAAACCCTAAACCCTAAACCCTAAACCCTAAACGAATGGGTATCTCTATAGGAACCACGAAGGGAACTTAAACGCTTCCCAAGGTGCCGCAACTGGGTACTTTGGGGGTTAAGGCTCAGGGACTTTTTAAGGTTTAGGGCTTAGGGCTTTGGGAGTTTAGGTTTTAGGGCTTTGAGGTTTTAGGGTTTAAAGTTCATGGATATTTTTGGCTTTAGGGCCTAGGGATTGGAAACGGACCTTCGGGTTTAGCGTTTGGGGGGTGTGGTTTAGGGTGGCTTAGACAGGAGGCAAGACCCTACAGCCCTCAACCCTAAACGCCACAAAGTACCCATGAACCCTAAATCCCAACCCCTAAACCCGAAAAGGGTTTAGTGTAGCTTGGACAGGAGGCAAGATAACCCTGAATGTGTTGAGGATTGCCGGCTAGGTTTACGGGTGTAGAGTTTCGGATTGGGGTTTAGGATGGTAGGTAGTCTTAAGAGTAGCTGTGGAGCCTCGGTTGTGGGCCGAGTCAACTCTGGAAGTTCGGGACAGACTTCGCAAGCTACCAACCCCTCAATCTTAAACCCCAAAGCCCTAAACCCCAAAGGCTACAAACCCATCTTAAACAAAAATCCTAAACCCTGAGAACACCCTGAGATGAAGAACACAACTCTTAGCTTCCCCCCCCCTCCCACTACTTTGATAAAACAAGAAAGCCTGGACCGTCCTCCGAACTCAGGGTTTAGGGTGACGGGTTTAGGGTTTAGGGTTTAGGGTGACGGGTTTGGGAGGCATTTCCCATCATTCGTAATTCGTCGAGGAAGATTCAAGAGGTGCGCAATGGTCCAGGTCTTGATGCGGTTTAGGGTTCTAGAAGGGCTTTAGGATGTAAGATTTAGGATTCAGGGCAGGGCTTAGGGCTTAGGGCTTAGGGTTTAGGGTTTAGGGTTTAGGGTGAGTGGCGCGGAACATGCCCAGGTCTCCAAAGAGCGACTCCCTGCAACAGTGTCCGAAATATTTTGCGCCGCCAACATGGCAAAAGCAACTCCAAGCATGCTTGACCCTAAACCCCCAAACACTAAACCAACAAGCCCACAAAAATCTCGATTCTTTGGTCATCATAAAAGGTTGAACCTGGGGCTTTAAAAATGCGGGCCTGGAAAAGGCCAACAAATTCAATTTAGAGCGGTATCTGGAAAAGGACCAACAGCCCAATGCTGGGGCGTGGACAAGATTGGGAAAAAGTCAAAACACCAATATGTTTGCAATTAGGGCCGTTTTGCAATTAGGGCGACCGTTTTTGCAATTAGGGCTACCCATAGGAACAGAACATGCTTCAAATTGCTTCACTTGCCCCACAGCGAAATTGATGAAGGCGCCAGACTACGCTGGCGAACCCTAATCCCTAAACCCTAATCCCTGAACCCCTAAGCCCTAAACCCCAAAGCCCTAAACCCCTAAGCCCTAAACCCGAAGCCCTAAAAACCCAAAGCCCTAAACCCCAAAGCCCTAAACCCCGAAGCCCTAAAACCCTATAAGCCCTAAACCCCAAAGCCCCAAGCCCCCCTCAGCCCTAGACTCTAGACCCTAGGACCGGGCCGAGGAGCGCATTCGTCAGAGCCGGGGGTGACGGGAACCGTCCCCGCCTCACAGGTCCGGTTAGGAGGCCGGGAAGCCGGTCCCAGGGTTCGGGTTCAGGGTTCAATTAAGGGGTACTCTAGGGTTCTAGAATAGGGTCCCTCTTTAAGGGGTACTCTAGGGTTCCAGAGTAGGGTCCCCCTTTAAGGGGTACCTTAGGTTCGAGAATAGGATTCCCCTTAAGGGGTACCGAAGGGTTCGAGAATAGGATTCCTTCCCTTTAGGGGGTACTTTAGGGCTTTAGAATTGGGTTCCCTTTAAGGAGTACTTTAAGGTTCTAGGGTTCTGCTCTAGGGGTTCTGGAATAGGGTTCACTTTCACGGTTCCTATCATCATGTCTGTCAGGGCTCCACAAAGTTACTATAAGGGGTTTAGGTTCAGCTGTTGATGTGTTGGAGTTGAGTTAGAGGTTGGGGAGTTTGGGGTTTGGATTTTGGGGCTTCGGATCTGAGCTGAGCAGCAAGGACACTACCACTGTGCGAGAGGGGTTGGAGACGAACAACAACAGTGCTCGCATGCTCGCAAATATCTATGTGTTTCTTCGCTATTTGAACACTGACGGCCCCGCCGATGTTGCAACAGACACATCATGATATTGAGATCCGAATTGGGCCGGGTACCTTGTCCCTGTGCAATGGAGGTGAATCAGGCACAAAAGTCATTCTGTGAGGCCACGTCAGTCGAGAAACAGGCGCGTGCAGTCTAAGTACATAAATATAGGGGCCTTAATAATTAAAATAGGGTTTTGGGTATCTTATGCTATAAATAGAATAAGGAACCCCTAAAATAGTATAGGTAACTACTGTCATAAACCCCCTGAGCCCGAAACCCAAAGGCCTTGTGCTTCAATCCTACCAGCCAGAGAGCACTCAACAAATAGCCATAACCCTGGCATGACCTGTTGTTGGAACCCCTGGACCCTAAACCCTAAACCCTAAACCGAACCCGATTAAGCACCCTAAACCCTAAACCTTAGACCCTAAACCCTAAACCCTAAACCGAACCCGATTAAGCAACCCCCGGGCCTTACAACCCCAGAAAGTTCGAATCCAGGGTAGTTCTCCAAATCAGGGTCCCTGTATTCGGGTTCCTTTCATGAGGGTGCCGTACTGTATTTGGGACCCAAAGAAGGGACCCTAAGTTAGAGAACTAACCATACAAAGAACCCTAATGTAGGGGCCTCAATACTGAGAATAGGGCTTTGGGCTCCTTTTGTCGTATAGATGTAATGAGGAACCCCCAACCCTAAACCCTCAACCCTAAACCCTAAACCCCAATAGTATAGGTAAATGCGTGAGGCCCCTATGTTAAGAGAAGCTCTGGGATTCCCTAGCGGGAGAGAATCGGCCTCGCAGGCGCTGCAGCCGGGGCCAAACACGGGCGTCTCGGTGCAGTAGAGCCTGGCTGCTTGTCGGCTTAATGTAGTTGGACTAGGGTTTCATAGGGTTCCTTTAAAGGGTTCCTTAAAGGGGATACCATAAGGGCTACTGTAAGGGTTTCGGGTTTAGGGGCCTTAACAATTAGACTAGGGTTTTGGGGTATACTATACTATAACTATAAAACTATAATAAGGAACCCCCAGAATTGTGTAGGTAATTCTCAAGGCCCCTATACTACTGCTGGGTTTTAGGAGCAAGGGAGGGTCAATTCCGTGTTGCCCTTGCTTACCGC